GTCTGTGTTGGCTTCTGATTTCCTCAGTTGGCTCACAAGGAGTAGCTATGCAAAAGAGGAAGGTTTGTTTCCTATTAAGTTACAGTTCTGCTCTATCACAGACAAAACATACTTTGTCTATTTGAATAAACCAAAAAAATGCAGCAAAGTGTGGCTAGATTAATGAAGTCACATATTTTTTACTGGTCAAATATATCCATTACAAAAAACAGTGGTAAAGCTGTTTTAATCTATCCTTGTGACCATATGTATAGAACAAGAAGCATATAATTTTGATAGAGTGTTTTTCTAATAAATTCACATCATCTACATAATTTGAATTACATAAGCCATAATTACATTATAATGTAGCTATGTCATTAGAAAACTTTGTGCATATTTCAGATAAAACAATATGTAGTTACTACATTATTAATTTGTTTACAAAAAATGCAAGCTAAATATATATATCTACAAATCCTAAAACACTTCCAAAACAACCCCAAGACTGTCCTAACATGGAGTTTATAGAATATATTTTAATACATGCCAATTTTTTCAGCTTTAATAAAATTCTGCTTTACAGGTACATTAATCACATAACTTTAAAATTACATAATTATTCACATTGAATCTTCACAGAAACTTCAACATCCTTTATTATCTTTAAATCAGTACTTTTGGTTGTCTAATTTTCTGTCTTCCTGTTAGTACTTTTAGATTGGCAGATGCCTTCACTCAGGAGCTGCTCTAATCAAGGCTGTACAAGACTTAACGCTCTCCTGGTCACCTTGTAATTCTACCTCACCAATTATTTAGAAATCTATTTGTGTACAGAACCACAGAATCACAGAGTAAGCTGAGTTGGAAGGGACCCTCAGGGATCTCTGAGTTCAGCTCTAAGCCCTGCACAAGACCAACCCCAAGAGACACACCATGTGCCTGAGTGCACTGTCCAAATGCTTCTTGAAGTCTGTCAGTCTTGATGCTGTGGCCACTTCCCTGGGGAGCCTGTCCCAGTGCCCAATCTCCCCTGAGTGAAGAACTTTTTTCTAACATTCAGTCTGAATGTCCCCTGAGACAGCTGTGGGTCATTCCCTTGGGTTCTGTACTGGCCACCACAGAGAAGGGATCAGTGCCTGCCCCTCCTCTTCCCCTCATGAGGAAGTTGTAGATTGCAATGTGGTCTATGTGGTCTTCCCCTCAGTCTTCTCAAGGCTGAACAGACCAAGTGAACTCAGCTGCTCCTCAAGCCCCTTCACAAATCTCGTGGCCCTCCTTTGAACACTCTGTAATAATTTAATGTTTTTCTTAATATTGTGGTGCCCAAAACCACACGCAGGACCCTAGGTGGGGCCACCCCAGTGCAGAGCAGAGAAGGAAATCCCCTCCCATGCTCAGCTGGTGATGCTGTGCCTGATGCACCCCAGAACTACTTTTCTTCATGTGTCTGGTGCAAAAAATCTCCCTTTTGATGAACTTTAATTCTGATATTTTGCAACTGTATTAGATCTTATATTAGATTATTGGTGGAGGGTCTGATATCAGTTTAAGATATCTTCACCAATAATAATGCTTTTCATAGATGCATATATTTTATCCTTCTTAACCTCCTGCTTAGTATGTATGATTCACAGGTAAAAATGCAATCATTTCACTAGATTATAAAAAAATATAAACTTGACTGAATTACAGATAACAAGATGTGGAAACGGTTCCATCTTTTAAATCACATCTAGACATATTTGCACTGTAATACTCTTAACTTCTACATTTTTGCAAACAAGTCCATGTTCATCTGTGTTTTTTCTGATTTGTTCAGTTTTCCCCAGGGAAAACCTCCTCTATAACAGCAGCAACTATCAGTGATTTTTTTTCTTAAGCTCCTTGAGTTAGGAAGGTAGTGACAGGAAAAAGAAAATAGGAGTAAATAACTGCCCATTTGTCAAAATTGTTTTCTATTCCTGAAGTAAAACAATAAAGAGCTAAACTGGTTACAGACATGAGTTGCTGAAAACTTTATCACACATGCAATCAGTAATTGGAATTTGGCAGCCAGATTCTCCCAATATTCTGCCTAAGTCTAGACAGGTGTATGCTCCCAATTAGAGATCAAAAGTCTGAAAGGGAATTTCTGTTGGCTTCTGTGCTTCTGGATATCAAAACACTGGCTATTTTCTTAAATTTCCACTTGTCCACATCCATGCAGCACAAGACTGTTGTAAATAAGGAATCAGAGTGCAAGAAAGGAGATAAGAAACTATGAATATAGATAAATCATATGAGATGATGGAAACAAAATGAGAAAAAAAAAGATTTTGCTCTGGCAAGGGCGAGGGAAAACAGAGTGATTAACTGAGAAGCCTAGACTGTATTTAATTTCAATAAACTGAATAAGTTCGGGACTATTTTCTAGGAATTCACAAATCACGTGAATTATCACTAAATTCCCCATAGCACTTTTGAATGCCCTTACCCTCTGTCCAAGGTTAGCCACATTAATGATAAACTGTGTATCCAAGGTATACCCATCATGTGTTAGAGAGACTACTATTTGGATTTGGTCACAACTTCCAGGATCAATAGAGACAATTGTGTTCCAGTGCCTGCAAGCCTTCCCCAGCGTTGTTTAATTTATTAGGATAATTGTAGCTAGAAAATTTAGGTGTCTACTAAGATATCTGATGCAGAGAAAAGGAATACAGAAAGAAATAATCCCACATGAAATCCAGAAGATAAGGACACAAGCTAAGAATAAATAAGGAAAAATAAGAATAAATCAGGATAAAGAACCTGATGGAAGAGAAATGCAAGACAGAGTAATCAAAACCAGAATGATCTATGGTATCCAATATATTTAATCTTTTAGCATGTAAAATTGTCTCACGTTTCCCAACCCTCATCACTCTTCTATTGTTATTATTTGTGAAACTTGCAAGTGTAAACTTAAGGCATTTTAAAGTCTTATTTGGTCTCCAAAATGAGTTAGAAAAAAAGAATAATGGTGTTTTACCACTTCTAGTGAAAGACATTAGAGATCTTGGTTATCCTTTTAAGTTTCTATTTCTTCAAAGTGATGTTACAATAGTACATAATGTTGCCATTTCTGAGGCAGTTTGGACTGTGTGACTGTTTAAATGAATGAATATTACAGATGCAGATTCATATGAGGCAAATTAGAAAACATGCAAATTATACTCGCTGTGGAGTTCCCTTTTCATCCATTTGTGAAAGCTGGCCCTTATTTACCTTACACCAAAAAGAAGCTTTTTAGTTTTACATCTCATATAATGACCCAAGTACATCACATTGCAAAGAGAATGAAGGAACATAAAGGAGCTGAAAATTTTAAACATTTTTGGTAAACAGAAGTTTGCTTCTTCTATGTTTTCATTGCTTCATCCAGTCTCCAAAGTTCTCAAAGATAACCATAAAGTTCTTATATAGCTTCATTCATCTTGAAAATGTTTATCTTTTTTCACCTCCTTTCTTCTGAATCTCCTTCTTTCCCTAATCTACACCTACACACTATCTCTTGCTGTCAACAACTCTTTTGTATCTTTCCAGGTGATATATTTTAGTGAAAACTGAAGCAAAAGAACAATACAGTACTTCAGGATTTTCACAATTTTCTTTTCAGGGGAACAACACTGTCCCTTCTCTTACCTCCTCTATCTTTAACCTCCCTCCAACAAAACAATTTAACATTACCCATAGTCTTTTTGCTGTTCTGTGCCAAGGTAGTCTTGATTTTGCCCCAGAATTCCTGTGCCATTCACTCACCAAGGAATCAGATTTTATCCTTCTTATTGAACTATTTCATTTCATGGATCCCTAGCTTGAAACCCTCGAGATGATGCACATTCCTCAGTGGCAAAGCCACAGTGAAGGGAGTTGGCATTACCCTTTTAACATGTAGAGTACTACCTAAATCACTGTCTTACACTCCTAGAACATTTATTTCTCTAACATTATTCTCCAAAAGAGTATTTTTAGCTTAAATTATGCTTATTTGCCGTTTCTGTTTTCTATTAAGATGGTAAAGCTATTATGTCATAAAAACCCCAGAACATATCCTGATTAAATACAAAGCCAACAGCAACTTGTGATTAAATTATTATATGTGTTTTTAAAACAGATTAAAACTTCAGGGTTTGGGGTATCTATTTAAAATTGAATCTAAATCAAATATACAATAGAATAATCATTATAAAATATGGCTAATTTAAACAATATAAGGATATCTTTTAGGAAACAAATAGAAAATAGTATATATTTTATACTTATGTGATTCAAGGCAAATCTTATAGGCAGTTCCACTCTTTTAATTACCTTATTTTGTAATATTAGCATTCTTTCTTTCAGATTAATGCACTTCAGTTAAAATGTGCATAACAAGTTGTTTAAGAAGTATAAATCCCAAATCTATAATGCATTAAAATATAAAAACTATTCAGAAGAGAGCTTTGAGTTATTAACTCTGTATTGTGAGTTATTCATAAGTTTACACTTCAAAACAGAGTACCAGCATATGAGGGAAAATGAAAGTGAAAATATCTGGCTCATAATAAAACCTTTTAAAACATTTTTTTATTCAAACTTCAATTTTTCTTTCTTTCAAATTTTTAAAGATTTATGAAATTATTTATACTGAGATTTGATTAAAAAAGCAATACAGGATTATTCTTAAAACAGTACAACTGTTCCTTCAGTGATCTTACATAATTTGAGTTATGAGGGTATGAGGCACTCCTTTTAAGTATTTGAAAACCAAGAAAAGTATATAATTTTCTTGACTATCCTATTGAACTTGACAAGTCTGAAATATTGAACAGTTTGGAGATAATAGATAAGAGATAATATTTTGAATTCATCCCTAGAAATAGTAATTAAACATTTTTGGATGATTATGTTTAAAAATAAAAATATTTATAAAAAAATATAGTTGATTGGAAAGTAGCAAACAAAAATATCAACATCTGCCTCTATAGGAAGTATATGTAATGTATGCATCACAATACCTGTATATGCAAACTGAACAAGGTCCCACAGCGCATTGGGGTCTATGCCTTCCATTTTGATCTCTTCTTGCTTGGCTTCACAAACATCACTTGTAAACATGGCAGCAAAGTAGTCAGAGACAGAACTGAGGACAAGTCTGCAGAAAAAGTAAGAAAGTGGTGTAATTTGCTTGGATATATATATGATAAATGTCAGATATTTATAAACTTCTTTAAAAATTATTAGGAGGAATGTATTATTATTGCACATTGGAAGCAAAATACAGAATGACATTTGATTCTAATGTGGTTTTGCCTCCTGTGATATGAAGCAAGTGATACTTTAGCATATGACTATAAAACAGACATAGAAATTAGCACTCAGTCTTTCTAATAATCTTCCAATCATGCAGATGTCCCAACTGTTAACAAGATAATCTCTCAGTATCAAATCATCAATTTCATAATGACAGGCATTTCATAATCCAGAGGTACTTTTCTTTGTTCCTAAAGGCTTATTTGTTATAAACTTTTTAATAATAGCATGTGACTTTAGACAATCTATAAACTTACTAAATATAATCTACTAAACTGTTAGTAGTTTAACATGCTACTTACTAAAAATATGTAATAAAATCACTGTGTAATACAATGTTTTTGTTAATAAACATGTCCAAGGAAAGTATTTTGAAAATATTTTGAAAATATTCTGAAAATATCTACAAAATGCTCGTAGCTTGTTGTTTAGGAATCTGATACAGATAAATCAATACCACAGCAGTATCAAGTACGACTTTAATTACTGGGGCTTTAAGTTAAGGTATTCTTCCAAATACCATCTACAGTGAAATTTTTATTTTTTTAGGACTGAATAGTCACAGATGATCTTGAGATTAGAAGTGTGGTACAGCCATAAATAGTGTACCATGTGCTTCCATAAAGATGGTCACATTTCTGGATTAATTTGAAAACATGATATACAAACATATTAATAAAAAAACATTACCATCACAACTGGAGAACTTGGAAACCAAGAGAACAACAATTAGCCTTTTGTATATTGTTAGCCAGTTTGCTCAGGGCAAATTATTATTTAAAAAAAATAGGGAAGATAAACAAGTTAATTCTTATCAGCCACCATGGTAATTGATTGCCTTTGCTCTCTTAGCTCACCCCAATAGCTAAGTGAAATATATGAAGCTTGAATTCACTTCATAACTTTACAGTGCTTTATGCTGCTACATTTTACCAGCAAGTAGGGCAGACTGAAGACATATATATGATCTATGCCTCTAATGATGAGTGTCTCTGTCCCTCTGCGAGCCTCTCAGGAGCCCTTGGCCAGTCCCGAGTCGGCAGACACCGGGGGACAGCCCCGACATGGCCGACAGCAGGGAGACACTCTCTGTGTGTGCCCCGAGGGTGCTGAGGGCACCTGGGCTGGCAGGGAGACACTGTCTGTGTGTGCCCCGAGGGTGCTGAGGGCACCTGGGCTGGGGGGAGACACTCTCTGTGTGTGCCCCGAGGGTGCTGAGGGCACCTGGGCTGGGGGGAGACACTGTCTGTGTGTGCCCCGAGGGTACTGAGGGCACCTGGGCTGACAGCAGGGAGACACTGTCTGTGTGTGCCCCGAGGGTGCTGAGGGCACCTGGGCTGGCAGGGAGACACTGTCTGTGTGTGCCCCGAGGGTGCTGAGGGCACCTGGGCTGGGGGGAGACACTGTCTGTGTGTGCCCCGAGGGTACTGAGGGCACCTGGGCTGACAGCAGGGAGACACTGTCTGTGTGTGCCCCGAGGGTGCTGAGGGCACCTGGGCTGGCAGGGAGACACTGTCTGTGTGTGCCCCGAGGGTACTGAGGGCACCTGGGCTGACAGCAGGGAGACACTGTCTGTGTGTGCCCCGAGGGTGCTGAGGGCACCTGGGCTGGCAGGGAGACACTGTCTGTGTGTGCCCCGAGGGTACTGAGGGCACCTGGGCTGGCAGGGAGACACTGTCTGTGTGTGCCCCGAGGGTGCTGAGGGCACCTGGGCTGGCAGGGAGACACTGTCTGTGTGTGCCTCGAGGGTACTGAGGGCACCTGGGCTGACAGCAGGGAGACACTGTCTGTGTGTGCCCCGAGGGTGCTGAGGGCACCTGGGCTGGCAGGGAGACACTGTCTGTGTGTGCCCCGAGGGTGCTGAGGGCACCTGGGCTGGGGGGAGACACTCTCTGTGTGTGCCCCGAGGGTGCTGAGGGCACCTGGGCTGGGGGGAGACACTGTCTGTGTGTGCCCCGAGGGTGCTGAGGGCACCTGGGCTGGGCGCCTTTGCAGCACAAGAGACACCAGAGACATCCGTAGAAGAGAAAGGGCCAACTCTTAGCAGGGGTTAATCCAAGGTTTTATTAGGATCCCAAAGGAGCTCCTGCACCTCAGGGGCCTCCTGCCGAGATCCCCGGGAGATGTGCCAAGGTCACATTTAAAGGGAGGTGGAAACCAAAAGTAGAGAACATTTTACCAACCAATGAGTGACCCTAAGGGATGGATGCTGGGGGATAGACATATAGGACAGCGTATGGGGCAAGGCTTGGGGGGCTGACTCCCAGCCTCTGGCTAATCACTCGACGACCTGGACCGAAACTTCTGGATGGAGGGGATGGGATTTGAGTGATTGACAGAGAGCCAGGGTGGGGGTTTGGGGATGATCTCATCCCGGGAGAGGGATAACACAGGTAAAGGGAGGGGGGTACAGTCTGGGATAAACCATTTGGGAAAAATATGGGAATATAAAACAAAACTACTTCAAAGTATTACAAAATATAGAAATACACTACAACAGTTGGGGAATTAATAAATAGGTATAGCACTTTTATCACTTTTCATGTTGTGCTCAAATCCAGCAATCATGAATTTTAGAAGCAAACATCCTAATTCATAAACAATTCACATTTATATTTATGCAATGACTAAATGTCAATGGATGGCTACAAAAACATGAACTTAGACTTTGGTGCTGCCACTAGAAACTCCTAATTTACTATTTTTTCATCATTGAGGAACATTTACTTCTACATTTGCTTATTTATTCTCTCATTTATATATTATTATATCTGTAAATCTTCTTCTAGTACTATTTCTGACCACTTATAAGTAACTTTATTGTTCATTGATGCTTCAATAAAAGCATCACAAAAATCATAGAAAGGAAAAATGTGATGATTTTATATGAGATAAAAATTCTCACAGATAGCAGAAATGTAATTTAGGTATGTGATGGAGATTTTAATTTCAGACCATTTCATTCATGGAGATTTAATTTAATTTCATTTTGCATTAGCTGTTGCTTCAGATTTACTAGACATCATTTAAATTTAGCTATGGATATTCAGTTTGATCACTTGTCAAAAGCAAGACCAAAACCCTTGGCAGCATCAAAAAAAAAAAATGGACAAATGAACGAACAGAAATTTTAATACACCAGTTAATGATCAGTGGAAATATTTTCAAATAGTAATATCTTGTCTTTTAAATTCACATGATTTATGTTCAGCAGTTACCTATTACATAATCTTACTGTATATATATGGTCAAATTTAAAACAAACAAAAAACAACAGAGGGAGGGCAGAAAATAAATAACAGAAGTATTAAATCTCTTTCACAAATTTCTATAAAAATATGTGATTTTCCACAGTTTGTGTGAGGAAAATAAAAGATGGTATCTAATGGATTTCAGCTGCAAAGGAGCATTCAGTCTACAGGAACACACAAGAGCCAGTCCAAAGTGGGAAAAAAAATTAAAAGCAATAAGACACGTCAGGTACTCAGCACTACCCATTTTTCATAGAGGTTTATCCCTACTGGTTTGTACCACCTATCAAAGAAGATGGCTTAAATGAGCAGAAAGGTTCTGTGATGTAGCAGCTCACCTACAGAATCAAGACAAGCTTTTGAACATAGTGATAAAAAAACAGGATTACTTTTTTAAGTGTCTTATATTAATCAATATTAACAGAAATACCAAGTCAGCTATTTCATCAACTTACTATAACCAAAAGATGAAGTTTCACAACACTAAGTTTTACCTTGGGAAGTGCTCTGCAAGTTGAACCGAAGAGAGAGGAACTTGCTAATTACACTTAATTCTGAAAGGTGACACCTTTTGTAAATCTTTATTGTATTCCAGGGTTGAGATGGAAGATCAAAAGTGAGAAATCAAAGAGATCAATTAATTTGTAATGATCTGCTGCTTTTTGTAGATTAGAAGACTCCAAACAGCCTTAAATCCTGGTTTAAAGGCATGTTGACCTATTAATCAAGAAAGGTCAGGTGGCTGAGGATGTCACCTTTTCAACTTTGGATCTGGCAGTGAGAATACATAATAAACTCTTTCATCCTTGAGACTCACAGCAGGTAACTCATGGCTTAAAATGAGTTTGTGTACCCAGAAAGGTTTTTTCCAGATTAAGAGACATCTTTCTCTTTACAACTAATTTCAGCCTGATCAATTTGTGGTTTCTTTTACAAGTAACCCATATGACTGATTAGGGTTGTGACCTTTTTTTCCCAGGATATCAGGTTTTATTTTAGTTTATTATAGAATATTTCTTTGCTACTTTCACAACTGTTTTCATATAAACTTTTGATAGAGAATTGCCTAACCACTGATGATGCATTTATTAATTAAAAGAAGCAAACAAACCTTGATCACTTAAAATCTTTAAGAAAACTCTTACAATATTTTACTGCCAACTGAGTAGAATATCAGATGTTATTTGCACTAAAAGATCATGGTCAAGACACTATTTTTTCTCCCTGCATATTATACTAATACACATAGGAGCTGAATATTCTCGAGAACTGTGTCCATGAGGATCTCATGAGGTTTAACTGGACCAAGTGCAGCCGCTGTACCTGGGTTAGGGCAACCCCCAGTATCAATCCAGGCTGAGGGATGAATGGACAGAGAGCAGCCCTGCTGAGACTGTCTTGGTGATGCTTCTGGATGAGAGGCTGGAATGTGCACTCACAGCCCAGAAAGCCAAATATGTTCTGGGTTGCATCAAAACAGTGGTGACCAGCAGGGCGAGAGAGGAGATTTTGCCCCTCTACTCTGCTTTGGTGAGACCCCACCTGGAGTACTGCACACAAACAGCTTTCATTTACAAAGATTCTAGGGGAAAAATGATAATATCTGGAATTTTTCCACACTACATTTTAATTTTCATTTAACTTTTGACAGATGGCATTGTGAAAGTATACATATATATATAGAGAGACATATATATGCATTCATAAGTATTATTTATTTTAAAAAACTGAAATTTTAAGCTCTGAGTTCTGAAAGGAATAAAATCTCACATTCAATAAATACTGGCATAATCCACAGCATAGGAAGGACATCTACCTCTTAGAGAGAGTCACCAAAATAGTGGTCACCAAAATGATTAGGGGGATGGAGCACCTCTCCCATAGGAAAGGACTGAGGGAATTTGGCTTTTTCAGCCTAGAAAAGAGAAGACTTAGGGATTACTTAATTGCTGCCTTCCAGTACCTGAAGGAGCCTTTAAAAAAAATGGAGAGGGACTCTTCATATGGTAATGTAGTGATAAGACAAGGGAGAATGGTTTCAAAGTAAAACAGTAGGTTCTTTCACCCTTCAAAGTCCATTTCAGTTACTGCACCTTTTTCCAGTCCATAAAGTAATAGCATTAGTATTCTGGTTTAATACAGTAATAAAATATCTCTAGCTAGAAAGGACCCTTAAGGCTCCTAAAACAAAAATAAACCATGTGATTAAGCACATGATTAGATGCTCCTTGAACTCTTACCACTTCCCTGGGAAGACTGTTGCTCCTTACAACAGCTCCTTACAACAGCAACTTACCATCCTTCTGCTGAAGAACCTTCCCCTAATATCCAATCTGAACTTCCCCTGACTTCATTCCATTTCCTTGGGTCCTGTCCCTGGTCACCAGACAGATGAGATCACCACCTCCCCCTCTGCCGCTCCCCTTAAGGAAGCTGTAGACTGTGATGAGGTCATCCCTCAGCCTTCTTTTCTGTAGGATGAACAAACCCAGTGACCTCAGCTGCTCTCCTTATCCATTTTTCCTTCAAAACCTTTCACCACCTTGGATGCCCTCCTCTGGACATGCTCCAACAGCGTGATGTCCATATATTGTGGCTCCCAGAAATGCACACAATACTCAAGGTGAGGCTGTACCAGCACAGAGCAGAGAGAGGCAATCACCCCTTGATGGGCTGGTGATGTTGTGCCTGATGCTTCCCAGGGCATGGTTGGCCCTTTGCTGCCAGGGTACTGCTGACTCCCATTTAACTTGCCAGCAACCCAGACCCTCGTATCAAGATTATCGATCAAGGTTAAAATTAAAAGCTCATCTAAATTGCCTTGCTGCTCCTCTGATAGCAGGAATTTTTGCTGTTGTTGTTCTTTCCCAACCATATTACTTGAATGAATTGTTTTTAAACTCACAGACTTGGGTTGTGTTAAACAACTCTGTCCAGATGAGTTCAGATGATATGGGAAGTTCCTCAAACCTTACAGACATCTGGGAATAACATAGAGCGGCTGTACTGCTTTTAATCAATGTTTTCCCTGTGGATCTGTTAGTGACTAGTGACAGAAAACTGGTCTTCAGAATATAATGTGCATCTTCAGACTAATGTGCATTTTTCTTCTTTTACTCCCTGCTTCTAGGCTTTCCTTCCTTCTCTGCCTGGCTCTCCTTTCTTTTCTGCCTGGTTCTTTATTCTTTCATCTTGCTTTCAGCTAAACTTTCTCCATAATTTTTTCCTCATTTTACTACTACTGTTTTTTTAACTTTGTCCCTCTGTAGTAGCAATCAAAAGGCATTGAAAAAAGTTGTTATCACCCAGAGCACTGAAACAGACAATGCTAACTGCATTTTGTTGAAGGAGTTTTATTAAATTTATCTTCACATGTCATTCAAATACTAGTAGAAAGATTTGGGTAACCTTACTAAAGTATTTCTTTGTTTCATATGTTATTGGTAATTTTCCAAGAGTTCTGTACTACCTTTTCTGCCATGGTAGGAGTCACCCATGATCCTTTTCTTAAGTATTGGAAAGAAAAAAAAACCACTCTGATATTAAGAGACAACAGAAGATAAAAACTTGTATTTCTCATTATACACTCAAATATACTGGACTATATTATAACATCAACAAAAGTAGATTTCTTGGTTTCTCAACAAGGGCAATGGAAGTAAGAACTGTAAGTTGAGGACATAATTCCCCTTCTACATCTTCTTTGCATTTTCCAGTTTTACTGAATTTTCTGTTTTATTGAATCAAGTCTGTTATATGGGAGTGTTCAATTGTATAGGAGTAGGTGAATTTTAGCCTTATATAATTTGTTCTTTTTTTTTTTCCCTTCAGCATAGAGTTCCTATCTTGTTTTGTGCAGCACTACTAATCAAAATGTCTTAAACTACAGTCTGAGTTTAGAGATGCTCTAACATTTCTGCAGTCCTAGATGGAAGTTTTAATGAACTCTCCAGCACAAATATTAAGGTTCATCTATCATTTGTAGTGACTTTAGCTCTTCTCTTCACAGGATTTTTGATGTTTCTTCAGCAGCTGTAGAATACAGCATTTCAAACACAGTTATTTAAAACCAGTGCAATTCATGTAAATCGCCTTCACTCAAAACAACCAAATCATTGATGGCAAACACATACTCTTAATTTTATGTTGACCCATGTGATTATTGCTTGATTAACAATTTTCATTCACTCTGATAATGCCACTATAGTTCTGAACAATATTTACTTCCCAAATGCACAACAGAAGTACATGGAAAATGAAAGCAGAGATGAATGATGTGGGAGAAATATAGAAACATTGTGTCAATGTAAAAAAATGGAATTAGAGAGGCCCAAAGATCCAGCAGAGATGAAGACAGCAAAGGATTTGATAGTAAAGAAGGGTTTCTGTAAATACCTTGGAAGCAAATGCAAAACTTTTGAAAGACTTTGTGCACTGCTCAAAAAAGCTTCATTTGGCACAGTCTTTTTTTTTTTTTATTTATTATGTTGTGTTTTGAGGACAAGTTTAAAGTACTCTTCCAGTACTGCAAATACTGGAGGAAGCTCTACAATATTACTGAAGGACCACTCTCTCCTATCTGTAATGGATCATGATAATTGCAGGAGGTTTCTAAGGACTGGAAAAGTCAATTTCCATGTAAATCCCTAAGAAGAAGGATGTAGGTACCTATAGACTTGTTTGCCTCACCAAGATCATGGAGCAAATTTGCCTGGATGACACACTCCGCACCACAAAAATCAGGGAGGATAATAAAAACTGGAACAGGCTAACAAGAGAGGAACGTCCAGAAGAGATAATAATTAAAAATTAACTGTGTATGACCTCAATGGTCTAACCTTGCAGTTGACCCTGCTTTGAGCAGGGAAAGTCGAATCTGTAATTTCTAGGATTGTAATGACTACAGTAAAAGAAATGGCTCACTGTGCTTGTCCAGACACACCTGTCTAAACAAACATAGAATAAACACTATCAAAACTTTTCCAGTTATTTGAGATTTGGAATTTTGACTGCAGACCACAGAGAAGTAGAAAATCGCATGTAAAGGTATCCAAAGGTTTATTAGAAAATCTAAATAGGTTATGGGTATTATTTCATGGTTAATCTTATTAGGGCATGTTTTCAGCTCAGGATTTATAAACACTGTAGAATTGAAATAACAAATGTGAAATTAAATTTACTACTAAAAGGTATGCATCCAAACATGAACATCTGTATTAAAAATAATAGGAGAAATGAAAGAAACTAATTAACAAAACCCTATTATTTAAATATATTACTGAAGTTTCTGTCTGATTTTACTTAGCATTTGGAAAATAACTTTAGCTCTGCAGTCTTGTATATTGCATGTTTCTTTCTTTTACTTACTGTTGTAGGAGTTGGAATATAGACTATTCAGCTTCTTTTGTTTAACAGGAATAGTCTCTGTGTCCATATTCACTCAGGGCAAAAGGAACTTGGTAAGGTCCAAGTTGCTAAGATGCCCTTAGAGTATTCTTCTGCACCAGGAAGTTAATGCACAAGTTCAGAAATGCACTGGCTGTTTTTATGACTTCCTGCTGGGGAACCATAATCCTGCTCTGAATTTAGTATCTCACCAGAGAAATCAGGACACATGCAGGAAACAGATTACCCTTGGTTTGCAGCCTTATTCAGAGTTCAGATGCAGAAATACTTGCTCACCTGGAAATTCTGAATTATTATCTGTATTTTAATCTAAACTCTAGGACCATATTTTTATTTTTATGCATTAAATGAAAACCTATTTCTGAGACCAAAAATCTCAATGAAGAATAACTATTTTAATTTTTATCCAAAACCAAGTTTCATAAATACCAGCTGCTTTAATACCAGATAATCTTACAGAATTTTAGAAATTAGAGTGTTCACTAATTTTTATAATAATTATAAGTAAATAAGTATTTTTTAGTTCATTGAAAGGCACAGTTCATAGCAAGAAAGTATTCAGTATTCTACTATAAGTGTCTGAGAGACTCTGTACAATAGACTTATCACAGGATCAGGATCTTAAACTAGAAATAATGCTGTTCAGTGTAGCTGTACAGAACCCCATTTCAGAAATTCACATTCTCTTCACATAAGAATAGCATCACAGCAGGGAGAATTGTTAGTCATACTCACCATCAGTTTGCTAGTTGAGTGCTACTTGAACTTTTGAAAGCTGTACAAAAAACCCTTACCTTCAAAGACCCAACCTTCAAACCCACCTTTTCCAGTCACTTACACTTGTGTTTAAAGAAAGAGGAAATAATCATAAGGGACAACAGGAAAAACTGTTCTAAGAAATACACATACCTAAAACATGAACTTTTGTAATTTCAATGCTTTATGCCTATTTCCTACCTGTGTGCAGGTATCTTGCGATCCCCAGCAATCAGGATAACATCACAGAGCTGCTGCTGCTTCAAGTAGCTCTCCATTTTCCTGAAGGTTTGCTCTGCATGGTGAACAGCCTGGTAGAATTCCTCAGAGCTACAGGAATCCATGTCACAGTGGGGTGGCAAGGGGTGGCTGGCTCCTGACAGTCTGTAAACAACAAGAAAAGCTCCAGATTGGTAAGATGTGACCAAGTGTTGATGCCATCACAGCTTCTAGAATCTGACACATGTAAATCAACGCATCCTTTGCCTGTACTCATCACTGGAAGTACAAGATAGAAAAATCTTATTGCATTGGGAGAGAAATGGAAAAAGCAATCCTATCTTTCCACTGGCTGTGTGCACCTACTCTAGTTCACTTTCTCAAATTCACATTTATTTTTCTCTCCAAAGGGGAGCAAAATGAAACTCCAATTGACTTAATTTCTAATGAATCCTGATAATTTTCACAATGAAAAATTACATACCTAATTTTAATCCAAAATATTTATTCATTAAACTGAATTTAGCCTGCAAAGATAATGGTGTTCATATTTAAAAGGGGAAAAAAACAAAGAAAAATAAACAGGAGAAAAATATTTTGTTTTGTTTTTCACTCTATAGCCATCTATTCCTAGTTTGAAGTTATTCAGTTCAGTGTTGCAGTGGAAAAATCAAAGTGTAAGGAAGCACTAGTCCTTGAAGAAACTAGGAAACTATGCTAGAATTTCTCAATAGTTCTCAATATAGATGAGACCCTCTTCTTTTAAAAATAAGTAATGAGATCGAGTCAATTGAAAGCCTTAAGATTATATGTATGACTTGTAGTGCTGTAAATGAAGGATTTAACAGATGAAGCTAATTTTTTATTCTTCAATAGATATATACAAAAGATTTACATAATCAATAGAAGAGCAATAGACAACTTATCTTAGTCCAGCATATGAAACAATATTATAAATTAATTCAAAACAATCTCATTTTATATATTCTATTGAAATAGAAATATAAAAGAACACATAAAAAACATTTTTTATTTACAACAATAATACAACAGTTTCCTTATTCAAGGTTTGAATTCAGTAGGTATAACATTAAAAACATATATTGAAAGATGTGTAAGAAAATGCAGTCTACATTCCTGGTGCTGGGAAAAAAAATAGAAACGTGCATAAAAATAATAATTCTTAAAGATCGGAATGAAATGCAGTTATAAAATATAAATAATAAAAAACCCTAAATTATTGAGACATGCTAGTGATTTGCTTCTGAATTATGTTTTGTACAAAAGTGTTCCACATAGTCTCCTACAGTCGCTGTACAGGGCTCAGCAGGTTTAAGGAGGAAGGGCTGGTCCATCTTTCTGTCATAGGAATCACTAGGCTTCACAGCACTCCGTTAAAGTAGCTGGAATTCTGCATAATTGAAGGTGACATGGAGGTTATTTCCCAGGGAACAAACACAGCTTCTTCTGTATCTCACTCCCCCACCACCTATTCTGTGCCACGTACAGGTACTAACTTAACAGAATCAGTTATGATTTAAAATTAAGTACAGTAAAGTTAACTTAAAATTCATTTAAAATAAGTAAATTCACTTTTGTAACATTAAGTTGGATAGCAAAAAATTTTCAGTTGGTTTAAATTAATTAATATTTTTATTTTTATGCTGCAAAGGTCTAATATGCCTGAGCCTGTATATAGGAAATTGAACTGGCAAAATGTTATTAAATGTGATTCTTCAATAGAAAAAGTTACAAAATGGTGATTTAGAAAGAAACACCAGCTTAATTCTTTTACAGGTCATATTGTTATGCTGTCAAGTACTGAATGCCAGATATTTCCTCCTGGATAAAACAAACACATTCATTCTGTGAGTGTCAAAATTTGCATATGCATTCCTATCTAATCTGGATCCCAACCATGTTGATCAGAAATCCAAGTTTATTTTCACATCTTTGGTTGATCAACAGATGCTTTCCCACAAAACTCTACTGACAGACCTAAGCTCATTAGAATGGGCAGATATTTCAGCTTTTTTTTCTTTTTATTTTCCATTTTGTGTTTGTAGCCATACAGATTTCTTTAGTTTTATTGCCAGAGAACTAGAATGTCAAGTAATTTACAAGAAATAAATTAATGCCTAATAAATGACATTGATAGTTTTAAACAGACATGTTTCTTCCTCTCTTCTGGGGAATTTAGAAGTGACAACAGCAGTTCTGAGAAAGGAAAGTAACAGGAATGAGCAGATCTTAATGGGTTCATACTGTTTGTAAGTTCAGGAGGTAGGTCTAGGTCAGCTTAAATTTGAACAGATAGGATGCTTGTCCTGAATCTTTTTGGCTATTCAAAATGCTGTCTTTTCCAGGTCAGAAGAAGAGAACTATCCTGATTGAATTTATGCTGGTCCTGTGAAGTAAGATTGCACTGTAATAAGCTTAGTCTCTCTTGCTCTTGAATTGCTAGGCAGTGCTTTCCACAAATTTTGCTCTTTCCTGCTAACCATTTATAACCAACACTTTCTACCCATTAACTCAGTGTATCTGTCACTTAGCAAGTCAATAAATGACTGCTCAAAAGCAAGCCATCAACAACCAAAGCATATTTTAAATATTATCAGGAAAAATAGCAAGCAATAAGCTCGGTAGAGGACAATAAGTTAATCTTTTATTTATTTTCTAAGAAAGCCCAGATAAAAAGCCTGCTACTTATCCCATTCAGGAGCTATCTCTGTTTCCTTATAAATGCTCTGTCTGCATAATCAATGCTTTAAATTCAGATAACAACTTGTTAAAGCAGGAATTAGTTAAAGCAAATATCATTTATAACCAATTACCAGTTTGTGAAAGGCATATATAGATGCTCAGGGCCAATTAGCAATATGACAATATGAAAATCACATTTTCTCTTTGCATATATTGCTCTTGTTTAGGTGCAAGCAAATCAAACCACAAATGGAGTGAGAGGCTTTGTGATTGCATTCAGCAGCAACTCCAACACAAATTTGACTGAAAATTTCCTAAATCTTTCAAAACCCTTTTTAGCATTTGTGTGCCTCAAAATCCTCTAATTAGTGAACTGGACAGACTCCAGGTGGACTTTTTCAATAATCTTCCTCAGCTGGCAAGTGCAAAGCCTGAACTCAGTGTGTAAATTTCCAACATTTGGGAGTTGTCCAGCCTAAAACACTTTAAATGACTTAATAGCACAGAAATAAGGAAATGCAATGGTACTGAAGGGTGACTGCAGCATGAGAATACTAAAAGGTTCACAAAAATTATCAACATTGCAAATAACCAATAATCTTAAAAGTTGTTTTGTTTTTTAATGAAATAGCAAACCAGAGTGCATATTGCATAATAATTAAAAAAAAAAACAAAAAAGGAAAAAAATCCACCTCAGCAAATTTGTTCAGATTATTTTCAGTGCTAAGAACAGCATCCTGCTCTTAGAAGAGAAATGATTAAAGAGCCTGAAGGTGTAGAGAAAAATCCAATCTTTGAGCCATCACGGATATTAAAACAGTGTAAACAGAAATAAAAACTAGAGAATCGAAAACATCTGACTCCAAAATTGTCCTCTTTTACAAGAAAAAAAAACACTGATTTGAAGAATGCAGAAATTAAAACCTTTAAGCTAAAGTAGTATTGTCAAGGATTTAAAGAGAAAATGCCAGGGAAAAAGGAACTTCACACACAGATTTAGCTTCCTACAACTTTCTTGTTAAGTAATTAGTAAAACCAGTAGTTAAACCATATTCTGAACAAAAGAACAACAAGAAGTACTTTGAAATAATTAATTTACATGACTTGAAATTATTCCACTTTTCTCTGTGTAAACAGAGGCTTAGATTTAGAAATGTCTCCATTCTGGAAATTATATTCACAGAGGTGCAGAAAACAACAGATTCATATCACTGTGTATAGCAGAAAACTTTACCGAGTACTTAGGTATTTTAAATACTCAATTTGAATACTTTTTTTCTTCATTCCACCGAAGGCCCTGGCCCCAAATAAAGAACTCTTTAACCAGAAAATGTCATACAATTTCATCATTACTGCAATATTAAATCCTGTTGTATTTAACAGGTTTTTTTCAGTTTTCACTCATGCAGGATTGATCACACAAACTTATCCAGAACCTGTTCAATTTAATTTAGTGTCTATTATTGGGCACATATCCAAAATACATAGCCAAGAAACAAAATATATCCAGTTCTTCAGTGAAAGAAACAATACTTTGCTATTTATAACTTGCATAGCCAGAAGTATTCCATATGTAAGAGTGAAAAAAAAAAAAACTTCACACAATTGGTTCTCTAAAAATTACTTATTGAATGCTCAAAAATCAATAGCCTGTGGAATTGCACCATCTAAGATGGACTGTCAGAAGTCATGGCTCTCATTAGTGATCACTTGCAAAAAGGCAAGAGGGAGTTTCATAAGGACTTTAAGATTTCTTACTGCAACAGCAAGGCTAAAGTTTTGTTTGTGAACAAAAGCTATTCTTTTCATACTGCTACCAGGAATCATATCTGCAACTACAGGATCTGCCCAGAATTTCAGCAGGTAGAAGTGCCAGATAAAAAAATAATCAGAATATCAAATAGGACTTTATAATTTTATCAGATTTGCTCAGAGATGTATTGGTCCGGTCTCAGAGATCCTTTTTCTATGTAAAAAAAAAATAAAAAAATTAAAGAAGCCAGTGATTATTGTAAGCTTATTCTATAGATAAACCTGCATTATGTATACTCTACAATGGTATCTCCTCCTAAAAGCAATTTGTGAATCAAGATACTTGTAACTCCTTTTTGAACACCGTAAGGCAAAAGACAGTCATAGGACATCTGTATGCCCAGCAAAAGTGCAGCTGAATCCCCTACTGTTCTGTATTTCCATATCTCTTAAGAGTATTACCAGACACAAGAAACAAAATACTAGCTACCAGTTTATTGTGCTGGACAAATTGTTTGAGGAGCTCTCCAGAAACATGGGAAGGACAATGAGAAGGGACTACTGTATCACATCAAACCGCTTCTGTGGAGAAGAAATAGTTCCCTTGTTTGGGAGCTGTATTGGATTTTTGTGGCTAGGGTTTATTAGTGTGGGTGGGGTACAGGGCTGGCTTCTGTTAGTAGCTGCTATAATTTCTTCCATGCCCAGCA